AACAGGCCAAAAATAATTCTAGTACAATTTCTATTTCCTACATCTGTGTAATACTATGTGTTATTTTAACTAAGCATCTGGTCTTTGTCCCTCATGTAAAAACTCTTGAGTCTTTGGCAAGAGGTACCAAAACCCCATGCCAAGCCAGTAAAAGTCACACATTCTTCCCAAGAGGAAAAAAATGTCAATAAAAGGAAGCATTGGAAATATGTGAAAGCTCAAGCAGAGGAGCTATAATGGCTGTGTCCTAATCAGCCTTGCAAATTGTTTTACATTTTATAAATTCCACTACTTGGAAGATTTAATACTGGAGGTTTATTCAATATATTGCTCTTTAAAAAAAAAATCTCCTTCCAACATGAGGATTCAGCCAGTTATTCACTCTCCTAGAATAAATCTTGTGAATTAATTTTTATAAATATTTAATGTCTATTCTCGCATTGTACAAATTGATTCTTTAGGTTACTTCCACTAGAGTTGAATTTCGACATCTCTCCCTGCACGGAGAAATCATCTCTGTCTCACATTCGCTTCAGCACCTTCCCAGGCCTAGCACTGTCATCTGTCATGGAGAAAGCTGAGACGTAAACACAGCCTTGCAATCAAATGTGACAAGTTCGTTATAACAAGAGACTCATAAATCTCGAAGCAAAGGAACTCTCCTTACTTTTTTTTTTAAACAATAATTTTATACAGTTCGTATATGGTGCTTTTACTTGGAACAAAGACAGGTCTCTCTGCCACCCATAATAGTGCAATTAATTATACCATAATACCACCTCCTATCCCACTCTAAAAGGGCCAAAAGTTAACAGATGGTTTCAAAATACTTTGGAAACATAAAACACGAAGTAAGCGTCTAATGCCCATAAGTTCTTCCGTGTAACTCAGCAATTGGATTGTGCTTAGGTGGGAAGAAGATTGGAAAAGGCAAATGGCCCAGAACTAAATGTCTGGTTTGGGAGTTAGAAACAGGGCTCCATAACCAGAATCCTTTGGACATTAAAATTGGCCACCCTAGTAGACCTCTCCCAAAGCTTCGGGGAGCATGCGTCCATGAGCTAAGTGAGATGCCCCTTCGACATAGGGTTTGAAAATATGTGCAGCCCCTGGCACACAAACAATCTCACAGCTTAAGTACTTTACCAGATAGATCAGCCCCTTTGAACTTGGGTCCCTACCATTCCTCATTGGTAGAAATGGTTTGTTCCCCATGATTATTATTTGCCAGAGAGGAGAAAGTATCTAATAGGCATAGAAAGATAATAAAGAGCCTTGCACCCAAGTCTGCTGCTCCGAGGGAGAGCCTACGGCACTATCAGGAAGCCCTCCCTGGGGCTGGGCATGCGGCATGCCTTTTTGTTTGAACACAGGAGATTCCTGTCAACTCAGCAAGATCCATTCGAGCCCACTGATCTTCTCGAGGTGTGATTAACTGCAACAGAGCATGGGCTGGAGTATAGCTAAGTGGCAGAGCATTTGCCTAGAATGCATAAAGCATTGGGTTCAGCGCCCCCCAGCGCTGAAAAGAAAATCTATCACACGTCTGATCTCATACCTGATTGAACGGAAGAATCTCATTATGAGATAAGCCTCAGTCTGAGAGTCTTACAGTCCAACATGAGACGATTAACACTTTCCAATTTTGAGAAAAGTCACACTGAAGCTCTACTGAAGAGCTTCCTCTTTCGTAGTCAAGAGGAAATTCTGAACAAACAGCAAAAGCTGGAAGGCAGACCACTCCGGTTTTAACACCTACTTTCAATACTAATGAAAAATCATTCATTTGTCTTGAACTAAAATGTTCCTGAGTATCATTGCAATAGACAATATGCTCTGATCCACACTGGTCCGGTCCTACTCCGCTCTCTGAGTCTACAGAACATTGCGGGGGCGGGGAGCGTGGCAAGACAGACTGGTAAGGGCAGAGGTAAGCAGATGCAAACGAGCTGTCACTTGAAGCGGCACACCAAGAGTGACTTTTCACACGTGGGATGCCTCCACTGAGACCCAACACCTACTATGCGTAAGAAAGAAACAGACAAGTAGACAGAAACTCCGTCCTCAAGCATGTCATGGACACTGGGTGGGGGCAAGAGAAAGTACAACCATTTGGAGGGAAAGGGTTCTTATGATGCGGAGATGGGGGAAGAGTTAAGCCAGAGAAAGAAGCGGAAGACAGGTTAGAACGGGTAGGCTTTCGCAGTGATTCTGAGGTAAGTGGGAAGCCATTGGAGGGTATTAGGAAGGTCATAAAAGACTGCATTGTGGGGAAGTATCGAAGAAGAAGGAAAAAGGGAGGTGCTGCAGAGGTGACTCGGTGATTAAGAGCACTGGCTGCTCCCGCAGAGGTTCAGTTCCTAAGACCTCCAAGGTGGCTCCCAACTCCAGTTCCAGAGGATCTGACAGCTCCTCTGGCCTCTGTTGTCACCAGCACATACTTGCACGTAAAGCAAGTAAATGTTCTGGGCAAGAGGACATAATGACTGCGAGGGAGATGGGAAAAAAACTAGCAAACTTAAAAACTCCTCAGACATGAGAAGAGACCAGACCTCACTAGAATAATCAGTAAGTGTCCGCACCTGGGTTCCAATCCTGGCTCTGACACCTATATAAATGACTCAAGTTCCCTTGCTGAAGCTGAGTTGTTCTTCACACGGAATAGAATACACACAGTTTGTGCTGGTGAAATTATTTAAAAAGTTAGTAAATTCACAAAGTACTTAGAACGGTGCTTGGCATATGATGAGTATTTAAAAATACTGCCTACTATTGAGTATCATGTTCAAATCCAGAAACAACACAATGAGCTTTAGAGTGGGGTGTGGGGGCAAATGGAAGAGTCTGGCTAGATAACTAGGTGGATGGTAGTAGTGACGGTACCAGCTACTGATTGCGCCTCACCTCCAAATCTACCTTTCAGCACAGGATGTAAGGCCACAGAGCCAGCCTGGTAAGCATCTCTCTTTTGAAGGAGGCACATTGTGCTAGAGAAGCCTCTGGCTTCGGGGTCACTGCCTCCTTGTTCTCTCATCCGTAGCTGCCATTGGTGCATGTGAGGGACACTATGGTGCTCACCTCATCAAATCCCAGGGGAAATTCCCAGAGTGTCACAGGTATCCCAGCTTTTCACTCGTACCCAGACTGTCTCACGTTTGTGGGGTGGATAAGCACTGACCTGGAGACAGTGGCAAATTTCTCTGTTGTCCATATCTTCTCCAACATGATCTGAATCTGGACAGTTTGCTTTCTTCCTAGATATTCTACTTCATCTCTGGTGTGTGCCCTTTCCCCTCTAAAATTAATCCTCAGGGGTGGGGAAATGGGTCAGTGGGTAGGTACAGCACTGGCCACCAAGTCTGACAACCTGAGTTAATTCCCCAGGACCTAGACGGGAGAAGGGAAGGACCAACTTCAGCCAAGCTGTCCTCTGACTTCCACACATGCGCCATGGCATGAGCACACACACGATATATTTTTAATCTTTAAACAGAACTTAAAAGTAAAGCATGCACATGAATAGCACAAGCCAACAAGAAACATAAATAAATTTTGTATGTCTGTATATCTCACCTAGAAGTGCCCGACTTCTAAATCCATATGCATGTATGCAGTGGCACATTTCACCAAAGGTGTGTGGCAGTTTCATGCTGTGTATATACTACAGTGTGGTTCTCCATTCGTTAAACCTCTCAATGCTAAAACAAAAATATGGTGGAAAACTGTCCATTTCCATTTTAATAGGATTATTATAATTGCATTCTAAACATGGAAACCAAACTTGGTGGAGCAGGAGGGTAGTTAGTCACAGGGGTCCCTCTAGATGTCAACTAGAGTAACCTCTAACTGATGTTTCAATACCCTCAGCGCCACTGAAACCAGTGACCTGCTTAGAAGCTCCACATTCTTTGAAAAGGATTAGACACCCTGGTTAGGTGCCTTCCACTTTTTCCAGGGTGTGAACTTGGTCAAAAAACAAAACAAAACAAAACAAAAAAACCTTGTCTCTTGCTTCATCCATTTCTCTAAAGTTTGGATCCACTGACCACAAAAAGGGAAGTTCCATCAGCAGTTTACAAAAGAACAATTTGGAAGAGAAGTATATGAAATCCTAAGGGAAATTAAACCCAAATAATCCACTAACAGCATTACAAAATTAACACAAGACTATGAATTGAATTAATTGCCTCCTACTGTGGGGATCCTTGGCTACCAAAACAAATGAAGCCTACAAAGTCAACTGCCTTGAGAGGTCACAGGCCAGTGTGGCACCAAGGCCATGGAGAGTTCACTGATGCTTTCAACTCTCTGGCTTACTGAGGAGACCTTCAGGATGGAGAAGACTTCGCTTCTGCCATCCTACGGCCTCAAGTTATGTATGGAGGTGAGAGTGAGAGAGAGAGAGAGAGAGAGAGAGAGAGAGAGAGAGAGAGAGAGAGAGAGAGAGAGAGAGCACAGAGCAGTGACGGATGTCTTCTTCAAGTCACTCTGAGTGCCTCTGTCTGGAAGTGGATGGGTCTCCATGTGAGGTCTAGTTCTCCTAGGAGGACAGGTCTGATAGGACCCATAGTGGCTTTTCTGGAGCAGTGTGTCTGGCGATAAGGCAAGTCTTTAAGAATACCAGTCAGCTACTCCAAAAGGGACTCACTGTGGCATTTCGGTAAATACACATTTATTTCTATAAATTCTCTTTTAATGTCATGATGTCAGTACGCCTGTGGCAAAGTGAGATTACCTAAATAATGTGGGCCCTGGGAGCAACAAACTGAGCATGTGTGTGACTAACTCATCCCCTGCTAGATTCCTTAACTTAAGGATTTTGAGCAGGAAGGTAGGATGTGGCGTCTTTATAGAAATAAAATCCTGGTGATTTATACACATTTGCCAAATTAGACCCTTAGGGCAGATAACGAAGTGACTGAATGGCCTCCCAGAACGCCTACTAAGCATTTTCTCTGCTGCTCATCCTCCACATGACAGCTGACATTTACTCTTGGAGCTTTGTAATAACTGAGCAACATTTTACAAAAATAATTAATTCATGGCATTTTATTGGGGTACTATGCGACTTACAATTTTTCTTATATTCTTAATTTTGTTTGACATTTTGAAAATATTATGCCGAACTCTTTTGTCTGGATTTTTGAAAACACAGCTAGCATGTATTGAATCCTTTTCTTTTTTTCTTTTAACACTTCCCTCAAAAACTAACAAAAGCACCAAAAACAAAAGATTTCTTGTTTAAGCGCAGAGAAATGAAACATCCTGTTTGTTTGGAATCCAAATGACGGTTGCCTCACTCTTACCTAATTAGGAGAGCCTGCTTAATGAGGAAAATTCTTTTCAAAGTCAATGGGTTTGCAAACACAAACATAGCTGTCCCCCCAGAATGAAATAAGCACATTCCTCACATGCATATTTTAGTTACACACTCTAATTAATATTACTACTTAAAATGTGTGGAATTCATCTGTTACAGTATAAAAACACCAGGAGTTCCCTTCTCACAGGCTCATAGACACCAGGCTGAACATACTAACTCAATTTTGGATTTAGACAAAATGGAAATTATTTCATCAAAACAATTCATTTTGTTGATTTTAGCCACTTCAAGCTTACTAACATCAAACATCTTTTGTTCAGATGAATTAATGATGCCCCGTTTTCACAGCAAAGAAAATGATGACAAATATTCCCAGGTAAGTCTTAAAATCTACCTAATACAATGGACATTCTGTACATACACACTAATGTAACTGACATTCTATATGTACACACTAATGTAACTGACATTCTGTACATACGTACATGCACACACTATTTGTCCTAAATCTAATGCTTTTGCAAAGAGTAAGTAGTAAATAAGTTTATGATTTGTTTTATTTTTTAATTTTGGTTTTCTGTCACACTTCAGCTTTTCTCTGACGATATATGATGTCACTTTGTAAAATGTAGTACAATAGCAATCAGCCTGGCCTCTCTGATGACAAGCGTACTGCCCTCAGGGTGTGACAATATTTAGCAAGGAAAGGTGAATTGATATACATAAATTGACTCAGGGGTGCATGCTTGTAACTAAGAGACAGAAATAAGATCTGGATGCATTTCAGCCGGAAGCTTGCATGACAAGCATTTGGATTTTCTCCTTGGCAATTGCAAGCTGGTAAGTTGGTAGTATCTTTAAATCTAGGTAAACTGTTCATCCCGACATCGGGGAACTGTGAGCTATGTTATTCTCAGTGTTTACATACTCTGCAACGTTTCTGGTTAGTATTATCACTCGGGTTACAATCAAAAAGAATTATTTAAATTTTTTAATGTGGTCCAACGTTCAAGGTAGAACCAAATCTAACTAAACATTTCCTGCACTTTATGTGGTTCCAATAAGTAGGTTTGAGGGAGGTCCAGTAACTCACAAACTTTGGCTCTTCACTAAAAATGTCATTTGTAGTCTAGTTAGAGGGCAACTGGTGTTTTGAAATATGGTTTTAGAGTGGAACTTGGGATCTGACAGAAAGAAAGAAGCTCAGTGGGACTGCCCAGAACCATGCCCTGAGCAGGCTAGACCCGATTCCGGGTGCCGCTTGGCCTTGAAAGGGAGAGGCAAAACACAAGGCCTGCGGAGGGAGTGGAGTTTTCTCTAAAGTCATAATACAAACATATAAAAATATCCCATAAACAATATGAATCAAAAACCTGAAAGAGAATAACTGTAATAAACTTTCGCCTCATTTCAATACTTCATTATATTCCTGCTGCTTGAACATACTGCTGTACTCACTATATATATTTTTATTAATATTTTATAGTTGTCTTATAATAATCAAGGGACAGAGAACTAGATTGCTTTAAGAAGCTTAATACAAATTATTTATTTAAAAATTCTGCATATAGGAACACAAACTTTGTTTATAGCTAGAGCAAGTCTGCAGATTAAAGTCTGGATTTAAGTTAATTTAGGGTTTAATCTATGGCTTGTAATAATAATAAATTATTTTAATTGCCGTTTCTAATTATAGCCTAGAGGAATCCCAGAAGGGGAAAAGGAAAGAAGTGTCAGTTTTCAAGAACTAAAAGATTGGGGGGCAAAGAATGTTATTAAGATGAGTCCAGCCCCTGCCAACAAAGTGCCCCACTCAGCAGCCAACCTGCCCCTGAGATTTGGGAGGACCACAGAAGAAAGAAGTCCCAGAGCATGGGCCAACATGGAGGCAGGGACCCTGAGCCATGTTCCCAGCCTACCCCAAAGGTTTGGGAGAACAACAGCCAGAAGCATCCCCAAGACACTGAGTCATTTGCTAGAGAGATCCTTGCACTCACTGGGCGCCAGTGAGCTGCTCTACGCCATGACTTGCCAGCATCAAGAAATCCAGAGTCATGGAGGGAAGCAACCAAGGTAAGTGTAGGAAAGCTGGTCAGCTGCACAGTCAGAGATGTATGTGTATCCCATACTGTCAAAAGGGACTGCTAAGAAAGCTAGCTTCTCAGAAGGACAAGGACAACATCCCAAGGAAATGAACACCTGTACATCCTGAGCTCTTCAAGGACAGGTGTCATAATGCCAAGCCACATGTGACCATCAGGCTGACAATTCTGTAAGCCATACACTAGGTCCATGCAATGACAAGCTTGCAGATTTAAGTTATGACCTATTGTTCAATCTTCCATCTCTCAAAAATGAAAGTCCCATGTGAGAGAATTGTTTCCCAATCCAGAAGACACCACCATCTCAATCAGATGGCAAATGCAGGAATTTTTTCCCCCAATAACATTCTTTGGGATGGTGTGGGAGATGGAATTCGGGCCTTATGCATGCTAGGCAGGTGCTCTGCCACAGAGCTACCACCATTCTTGTCCAATTTTTTCATCAAACTTTTCTTCATTTTCTGCATCTTGTTTTATACATGAATCCTCCTACAACCATTCTTTGTATTAATTAACAAACATTTGTTATCCACCACACATAAATTAGAGTGCCAGGTACTATATAAGATTAGAAAGTGTTATTTCTAATAGAAACTATATTTTTTAAAAAGTCTTTTTGATATGAAGTAAAATTCAAGACTTTCATTAAGGGCTGAAAGGGGTGGGGTGGCAGACTCTGTCACCTAATCAGGGGAGCTCTCTCAGAATACACCTCATTTACTGTTTCCAAGAAACTGACCACCTTCTGACTTGTGTGTTTAGGATCAGCTGCCTTTAACAGACTTTCATTTTCTAGAAATCCCATCATTTTATCTACTGCCATATTCCTAGGGCCTAGACCTGTGACTGCCCCCTAGTAAGTCTTGGGTATTCGAGAGAATGAATGAATGTTATTGGAGAGGCACTATGGAGGGTACATCTGTGGGCGGGAACCCAGTGACATTTCCTCTTGAGGGCGGCTGGACTCTGAACATGCAGAGACTGTGGGAACAAGAGGGGTCATTTCCAGACTAAAGGCTGAGGGTGAGCAAAGGCACTGAAGCAAGGCAAGCCATGGAGAGCTGAGAGCCCTTTGGCAGGCCCAGGAACAAGTGAAGAGGTTGGAACAAGGGCGAAGGGCAAACAAAATGCAGACTTGGGGCCCAGTCACCTGGAGATGGAGAACTGCTGTCATTTTTGCTGAGGCCTGGGTTATAATACGAGATAGAATTGGGCAACCAAGTCAATGGTAAGTGCCCACCACAAATTCAAAATCCACCAGGATCTCCTTCATTTCAACTGCAGCCCAATACAGCTAAAGTATAACTAAGCAATCACAGGATTTTTTTTTTTTGAGACATCATCTCACTGTGTAGATATGACTGGCCTGGAATTGACTGTAGACCAAGATGGGCTTAAACACACAGAGCTCCTCCTGCCTCTGCCTCCCGAGTGCTGAGACTAGTGTGGCTCCACTCCCAGC